GGGACGTTTTTTCTAGCCGAAGACCTGGCAACACTGTGCGCAATGCCGAATTTGGAAAATAAAATGAAAATGTGTGCATACCTGCGTTGGGATTTTTTAGTAGCTACTTTGGTTAAATACGTGTTGCGGTTTTTTGCAAAAATAACGCTTAAAAATACGAGAGTGTAAAAGACCTCCCAACTAATAAAATTATTAATATGTATGTATGTACCGAGTGGAGTGACACTTTTATTGTTGCTAATATTATTGAGTGATAAGAGTTCCAATTTTTGTAACGTAATTTTTACTCATACAATATTGCGTGATGTGATTTGTCAATTTTCGATGGTTTATTTTCGATTATTTTGAAAATTAATCGGTTAACCGCTCGATTAATCGAAAGGAAAATTTCGATACAATTAAATCGTTAACCGAATGAAAATAACCGATTATAATCGCTTATTCGATTAATCGTGCCATCACTAGGCATACCTGACATTGTTTCGAGTTGTCCTTTCCAGTTCTACCACGACCTCCTCCTTGAAGACTTGTCCTGGCTTACATACTTTACAAAATGTTACCAAACTATTTAAAGATAAATGATTTAATTTAATACTTAATTTTCTGACTGGACTTTTATTTTCACTATTTGAAATTGGTTTCATATCAGTTTCAGTGGGGGAAAGAGGACAAACAATGTCAGCCGCTGTTGACGACAATCCATTGTTGGTCCTTCCGTCCGCGTTTATACCAAGCGTATTGGTTTCGTTAATCCGTTTTGTTACCATGCGCGCCTTTGGATTGCAAGGTAACTGTTTTTGCGTATCTGCTTCCTTTCCGTCTTTCTGAAACGAGAAATCTTTAGATTTTATCATTAATTTAAGTTTTCCATTATGTCTTGTTAGCTTCTTTATCAAGGCTTTTGTTGCTTATTACTTCGTTGTCTTGAAGGTAAGCACCTTTTATATTCTGTGGTATTTTATTCACCACTATTTCTTTAGGATTGGAAAATTTCGACCCAACCTCTGGATTTATTCGCTTTTGTTGGCATTTCTCATAACCGAAGTTCAGAGGCTTTATTTCAGCTTTACTCCGAACAAAGTCCCAAGGGAATTTGGAGCTCTCTATTTTTGGCAGATTATCACAAGGAAAAATTTTCCCTGGAACGAAATCTAATGCCTCGTCAAACTTAGCTCTTATTTGATCAAATAAGTCTGCTAAATTGTTATTTTCGGCTTCGCCTATATATTCAATATAGGCATTTTTAGCCTTCTTGTAGTCTTCCAAAAGACTCGCTTTTGGAATTCTATTTTTTAAATATCTTTCGACAGTTCTGTTGAATTCTTTCAACCAGAATTTAAGTTTCCGTTCTGCATTGCTACGAACTTCAACTTCTGCCGATTTATTTTTGAATGGGCTATGGAACCTGAATGACCATTCTTCAGGTCCGTTTGTTGCCCTACAACCATTACCTTTGTTGGGCAGCTTTTGCTGCCCCTTGGTGACTTCCCACGATGAACAGTCCACTTCGATGCCGATCATCCCTTTTCCAGCGTTGCAGGTTGCCATTTTATTGTTATTTGCAGCCGTATACATGTATATTCGCGACGCAATGTATGAAAATAAAACTTTTAATTAACCATGGATGACCAGCCCGCTATGAAGTGAAACCACCGAGTTTCTAATATAGAATCTCACCGTTATAGAGCAGCGTTCTTTATTTATATAAGATTCTAAACCTAACTGCCTACATAACTAATCTGCTGTACATAACACTTCCATGGTGCTAAGCACATATAACTTAAACCTAATTAAACACCAACACGCATCCAGACACTGTCCAAGGTCGCATCACATATTAAGATTTAAAATACAACGCATATTTCGTACTTTTGGCTGTGCACATAAACGTATGCCACAAATCATGCACTCAAGCATCTCTTACCCAAGTGATAAGTGTCCTTGAGTCGCATGGATTGCCTTTCCTTACCTAAACATTTAATTTCTTTCTTTACATCAAGGCGTACAATATGCCTGTGATGCATGCAACATATGCGCACACTTGAATACGCCAAAACATCTGTACCCTGCAGTACGGGGGAGCGACTACAGGACTGCTGAATCGGTAGCTACCTAATAAACACCGTCAATTACCGACCGACTACTTGCAGTGTATTTCATCGATTACTTTTACGAGGCAATGTCCTAGGCGGTAGTCACCATCGGCTCTCTCTGCACTAGCGGGAGTTACTAAAGTAGTCACTTGCGTGATTTATGGGCGCCCTCTGTCGTAGTTTTTCGCCCTCTGGTTCGACTCTGCACTACCATGTGCACTACCACGGGTTAATAGAGTAGCTACTTACCTACGAGTCGGTGCAGGAGCGGTTCAAAAGGAGCGATTGACTCCAGCAGTACTGGAGGGCACATACAAACATGTATAGATATGCGTGTTGATGTTCATACCCTGCAGTACGGGGGAGCGACTACAGGACTGCTGAATCGGTAGCTACGTGATAAACTCCGTCAATTACCGACCGGCTACTTGCAGTGTATTTCATCGATTACTTTTACAAGGCAATGTCCTAGGCGGTAGTCACCATCAGATCTCTCTGCACTACCGGGAGTTACTAAAGTAGTCACTTGCGTGATTTATGGGCGCCCTCTGTCGTAGTTTTTCGCTATCTGATTCGACTCTGCACTACCATGTGCACTACCACGGGTTAATAGAGTAGCTACTTACCTTGGAGTCGGTGCAGTAGCGGTTCAAAAGTAGCGATTGACTCCAGCAGTACTGGAGGGTAAGTATACTTATATCTATAGATATGAACACATACATATGTATTTGTTTTTTAACATAACGTTAACATTAGCACGTATGTATGTATATGTACCAGGGAAGCCAACTCGTCGGAAATTCCCCGATTTGCGGGGAATTTCAGTTTGCGTGGGGAATCGGGGAATGGACCGTTTTTTGTGGGGAATTTCAGTTTACGTGGGGAATCGGTGGATGAACCGGCTTTTTGTGAGGAATTAGTTGTGACTAATTTTTTCTTTTTTGCTTCATTAATTTCATAATGAGTTAAAAAAGTTGCATAAGAAATACAGCTGCAACTAAAAGTAGTGATTTTGCAACTCTGCCAATTATGCAAATAACTTTTTGATTTTTTAGAATTTTTTTTGTCGCATTTGCTTTCCTATAGTGAACAAACCAGTTTATTTTTATATGGAAGAAAACCGCAACCAACACCAAACAAAATTCTAAAAGGAAAATTTTAAGCCACTTGAAACTTGCACTTTATTATACTAGAAGTGAGTAGGCTACAATACTGCATACCCAAAATCTTTCTAGGGAATCGACTTAAAAAAGCTCGAAATTTTTACGAAAGTTTGCTGAATTTTTTTAATATTGCGTAAATTTTTAAATTTGGATTTATACGGTTTTTATTGGAAAATTAACTATATTTTTATAAAAAAATAACTCAAATTTTATATAAAAAAAAAATAATAATTGTGAAAACTTGTCAAAATTTGGTGCGACTAAAATTTTTTCGACTACTGTATGTATGTAAGTATTACATTGACATTTGTATTCTTTACTTGTTAACTAACTTTACAAAAGTTTGGTTTGATTTATGAGTACATAGATAAATTACATTAATAAATAAAATAAATAGAAATACCAGCAATATATCAAAATACAAATTTTTTTTAATAAGGATGGGTGGGGAATTTTACGAAATCTCGGGCGAAATCGGGGAATTTCAAAGTCAAAATCAGGGAATTCTCAAAAATGAGTTGGCTGCCCTGATATGTACACATAACCCTTGCTTTGCGGTGTATTTCGCACGAATTAACAGCAGAGAGCGCTCTCATTTGTGATTTGCAGGTAAGCAGCGCTGTTATGTGGGCATGTATGTTAGATTCTATAGGATTTTTAAAGTCCTGCATTTCCATTTTCGAGAAGTATTCCAATTTTTTTTGCCTAGGACAATGAGAAGCCCATCCAGAACCTATAACCAAAATTAAAAAAAAATCGGTACAGCCTATCTCGAGCTTTGCGAACAGAAAAAAACGGCTTTCAAAATATATATTAGTATTGATTTGGCTTGAAAATATGTACGGTGGTCCCTTTTTTGAATTTACATGATCTACACAATATATGTAACCTGTAACCTGATTTAGGTTAATTAACCAGCGAAAATTATGTGTGCGAATAAAAACTGTCGAGTCATGCGAAAGTTCGAACTAATTGAAAATTGCTAATTTGGGGATATATGATTTTTTATTTTCTGTGGACTTGCAGATTCTGGATTCCTACAAGATTTTAACCCTCTAGCGACCTTGAAAATGCCATTTTATTCGGACTTTCTAAAAAAAGGGCCAAAAAGACCCTTTCATTTAAAATGGCCATAGCAAAGAAATTTGACCAAAGAATGCAAAACGATTTTGAGGTTTTACTATACGGGTCTAGGTCTTTCATCCTGCGTTGGAATTATTGCGCCCCCAAAAATGCTGTTGCACAGTGTAATTTAAATCCAACAACTCAAATGAAACGAAGTTATTGAATCAGAATGGCAAATGGGAATATAAACCAAAACAGTCTCACCTGCATTTGGTTTAAATTAATTTAAAATGAGTTGACTAAAAATTGCTTTTTGTATCATGTGTTGCTCTTTGAAACTATTTGTGTTTTCTTAATTTGTATGTATGATTTTAACGCATATCTATGGAATGCATGTTTATATGCATGTTTTGGTTTTTTGAATATTTTTGAATTTTAATTAAACTGCAAATAGCCTAAAATAATTTTGTAATTGTAAATAATCCAATTGGGTGTGTATTTTCTTCTATATTTATTTTTATATTCGTTGAACATTTGTTGGTGTGTCTCTATGATTGACTCTGTGATCATGTACAAAAACCCAAATCAAAATCATAAAACCACAATCAAAATTTAAACCACATCGAAAATACGTCCTACAATCTTTGAAAAACAAAAAAAAAATAAACGGTAATATCAGGACTAAATTTCCCACCGGATCACAGCGTTCCAACCGCATCTCTATCGGCCGCTACCGCTGACAATGGACTACTCTCAACTAGATCTATTTCGATGCAGAATCTGATAACTCTAGCAACGCTAGGCGCTCACAATTATCCATCAACACAATCACTTCAGCCTCACAGTCATGTAGTCGCTCAAACCCAACAACAGCAGCAGCAAGATAACAACGGCATGACGTATACGCCGCAGGCGATGCAATCACACATGACCCATCTACTGCAAATGCCGCCCGCCATGACTACGCAGCTAACTGGAGTCACCCCTCCCACACTGGGTAAGTAATCAACATTTTCTGAATATAAATTACGTCCGTATAAAATCTTACTTATACACACATATACGTACATTAGAGTTATCCTTATCATATATACGAATGTCGACCGCTGTGGTGTAGTGGTAAGCAGTGCGCACTTCCACTCCGCAGCACCTGGGTTCAAACTCTGGTCAAAGCAATATCGCAAAAATAAAGAAAAAAGGTTTTTTCTTAATAGCGGTCGTCCCTCGCCAGGCAATGGCAACCCTCCGAGTGTATTTCTGCCATGAAAAACAGCTTCTCATAAAAATACAATCGCCGTTCGGAGTCGGCGTAAAACTGTAGGTCCCTCCGCTTTGTGTGACAACATCAAGGCGCACGCCACAAATCGGAGGAGAAGCTCGGCCAAACACTAACATATGTGTAAGCGCCAATCTATTATTATTATTATATACGAATACAAATTGAGTCAGTATAGAATCTTACTTATACATACAATTAAAGTACTTTGTAAACAGAAAAGTGGTTTGGAAATTTGTCACATAAACTCTCAAAGTCTGAAGAACAAAATTGATGAGTTCAGATATATTTTTGAATTCTATTCTGTAGACATAATATGCATATCTGAAACTGGGTTTAAACCACGCTACATAGATAATCATTTTAACATGAATGGTTACAAATTGTTTCGCTGTGATCGGCCCAGTCATGGAGTCATGTATAAAGAATGGCATTAAGAGCATAACCATTAGCAATTCAAGGACCGACGATAAAATTTAGTACCTTTTTATTGAAGTTGTGCAAGGCGTCGATAAATTATGTATTGATTGGGAGCATTTACATATCTAATCGCAATGTAAACATTAGTTCATTTACTGAGCTTATTCACACAATCATTTTGTCGTATTCAAATGTAATTCTGACTGGTGAGTTTAACTGTAACGTTGTATGCGACGACTCTTTTCCTAGTGAACTGCGAACATTGAGTCTTAACCTTATGAATTTCACCCTTCCTACACATTATACTGCAACAAGCATATTTATATCTTTTCTTTGTTAGTGATGTTTCAAAAACGTTAATGTTAGACCAATTCGTGGCTGTATTCCTCGTTTATGACTTTCAGCCTATAACCTCTACCCTCACCTCACCTATAGAGATTTAAAAACAGCTTGGTACGAAGATAAACACAATAAAACAATGCTTATAAGGGATGGAAACGTTTGAGCCTTGCCTTGTTGTATGGAAATTTTTGTTCGATCAGAAATGAGGTCGCGAAAAAGATTAGAAATGCAAAAAGGCTATATTATGAAAAGAAATTCTCCCAAATCTTGGGAAGTAAAGGTAATTGGAATGAAATAAAGAAGATAAATCTATTCAGCAAACATGTACGTGCCATAAACATTGATGATATCAAAAAGCTCAATGCTGATTTTGCTTCAAACTTATACGCCTGTGATAACGAAATATATTATGATTACCAAATCCGTGATAATGCATGTAACAGCTCGTTTAAGTTTGTATGTGCAAGTCAGTTAGATGTTTCGGAATCGGATTTGTCAATAAAGTCCAATACCGTCGGTCTAGATAAACTTCATCCTACATTTATAAAATCTTTGCTCCATTTTATGCTTCAATTTTTCATAACATGTCTTTAATATGATACTCACAACTTCCGCATATCCACCCAGCTGGAAAAACGCAAAAATTATCCCAATACCAAAGAGTCATAATGAATATATACCCATCGCTGTCCTACCTTTTTTATCTAAGGTTTTTGAACACATTCTTTATAAACAAATGGACGAATTTTTAACAACTAAAAATTTATTTCATATAAAATGTCTGGATTTAGAAAAAATTGTGGATGCATTGCCGCTTTAACCGATGTGGTTAAAGCGATATACGCGCTGACCTTGATTTATGAAATTTTGAAGTTTTGATTCTCTTAGATAATTCTAAATCTTTTGACACCGTAAATCAAAGAATATTATGTAGAAAACTTCCCAGTAATTTCAATTTCTCGTACCACTCTGTAAAATTATTAAGCTCTTACCTAACTGGTCGCTGTCAAGCTATATTCCCAAACAACGGCCTGTCAGACTTTTTGCCCTTAAACCGTGGCGTTCTAAAAGGCTCCATTCTGGGCCCATTGTTATTTTTATTGTACATAAATGAGTTAACAACTGAGATATGTAAGTGGAATATACATACATATGTACCGTGATGACGTCCAAATTTATGCAAACAGTGATATTACGATGTCAATACCTGTATTTCGCTGTTGAATGTAAATTTAAATAAAATAAACTCGTGAGCTGTTGAAAACTGTTTGTTTCCTAACCCGCCCAAGTCTAAATGTTTACTTTTAGGGAGAAGGATTATTGAATACACTATGTTGCCCAAATTATATATTAATGAATTATTATTAAATGGCGAATGCTGATGACATCGATATTATCGGTAAAAACAAGGGCTACGTCTGTTCTGCCTTCTCTGGATTGGATAGAGAAGCAAAGCGAACGTGGTGGTGGTGAACGGGGACAAAACGAAGTATCTCCTGTCATCACACAAACAGTCAGAGCTTACGCGTCTTGGCACATACGTAACTATTGACAGTTACAAGTTTGAAAAAGTAGACGACTTCGGTATTTAGGAACCAGCATTAACACCAATAGTAATGTCAGCCTTGAAATCCAACGGAGAATCACTCTTGCCAACAAGTGCTACTTTGGACTGAGTAGGTAATTGAGAAGTAAAGTCCTCTCTCGTCGTACAAAGATCACGCTCTATAAGTCACTCATCATGCCTGTGCTGGCGTATGGCGTGGAGGCATGGAAAATGAAAACTTCTGATGAAGCGACTCTTGGAGTTTTCGAGAAAATGATCTTGCGAAAGATTTACGGACCTTTACGCGTTGGCGATGGCGAATACCGCAGACGATTTAACGATGAGCTGTATGAGCTTTACAACGATATAGACATAGTGCGGCGAATTGAAATTCAGCGGCTCCGCTGGCTTGTCCATGTCGTTCGAATTCGTCGTTTATAATTTTTAAATTTTCCATTCACTCAAAGCAGTTATGAATTCACACACCAACATATTCATAGCAAGATTGCAAACACCAATGCCAAATCAAAAAAAGGTTTAACATTGAATGAGTATTGAAAAGGCTGCAATCTTTTATGTGTGTGCATTCTTTAATTCAGTACCAATCATTAGTTCAAAGACACCCTGGTAAACAACTTTTTGATAAAAAGGCAGATTTTTGAAAATTGCTCAATAGTAAAAATTCGAAGCGGTGTTACCCAATTTAAGTTTTTTGGTAGAGGGGATTTTATATCATAAATTTGGGATTATATATAAAATGTATTAACATTTACCGTTTAAAAATAGTTAATATCTTGTATTAAAAATGTTTAAATTTTACATTAAATTCGATTAACACTTCGCAAAAACTTTACATTGAGGTTATTAAAATTTTAGTGAACTTATTTTAAAAATATTTAGTGTCTTTATGCCATCTGATTATTTCACAATGTAACAGGACTATTACAGTTTTATATATCGGGTGCGATTGTTTCTGATGTAATGAACACTAAAATTACAAATTTTGATGTGTAATTTACTGCATATTTAGGGGATTCACAATTCGTGTTAGACGTCGTAATGTCTTAAAGGCTTAAATTTGTTCAATATAAAGTAACGGTTAAAGCTATTTGAAAGATTCGTTGGGTATAATAAGAGCCAATAATATATTTCCTACTAGTTTAAAAACATTTTGGTTATGTTAAAAAATGCCTAAAGAAGTATTAGGTGTTATTTTACATTTAAAAATTTTAAGACTTTAACACATTACGGCACTTAACACCTCTTCTGAATCCTCCATATGTGCTTGACCATTAAACTATATCGTTGTTTATTTGGGCGAAATTAAAATATAGTTCACTGTTCAATATTGGAGTTGGTGCGAAGTATGCAAATGAGAACAACAATTATCAACTTATTGAGCATTAGCCTCATTTATTTAAAAAACAAAAGACATTTTTCTTGGTAAAATTTCGATTCTAAGCATACAATGTTTTTAAACAAACGAAAAATTAATAATAAAATTTGAAGAATTTTAGATACTGCGTATGGTAGCATGAAATTTTACAATATGCTTAATTGTCAAGTGGTTTTTTGTATCATGGAAACACATAGCAACTTATTTCACACTTACAGTGGGATAAATTTAAAACTTCTAATATAAATTAGTTAAATTTAGTTAAGATTTTTTGATCAATTTTAAGTTTTCGTTTGGAATAATTTTCACGAACTAATCTATTAAGAGACCTTTTTAGAAAATTGTCGTACATCCGATATCTATTAAAATTTTGACATCCTCACTTTTTGGAAAAAGAAGTTCAAGATACAAGTTTATATGCAAAAAATAAATTAA